AATTAAGAGGCTTTTGCAGTAGAGCAGGTGATAAGACAGTGACTACTTGGGTTGGTAACATTGTAGTGGGGGTAGAAAGAAGTCTTAATTCAAGTTCTATTTTGGAGATAAAATCAGCAGGATTTGGTTAGACATTAGTAGATAAGTAATACAAAAAGTGGGAAAACTTCTTTACCTCAGATTCTAGCTTACAGGTTAAACCATAAAACTGTGGACAGATGCTTATGGCTTCATTCCTCCTTTTAATTATTTAATCATTTATTCACTCTTCAAATTTATTAAGCTTCTTCTGTATGTCAGGTACTCTGTAAGGGTACTGAAGATACACCGTTCCATTATATAATGACTAGCTTGATTGATTATATATGTTAAAACAAGGTGCCAAGAAGACTAAAATTCTCAATTGCATCTCTGTAGATTTTGTTTCCTTAGCTCAGAGGTTCTCATCAAGGATGCCTAGGGCGCTCTGGGTGTGAGGGGGTGATTATAATTGGTATAAATTGGCACACTGGTTGTCACACTGACAAGGTAGTACTGTTGGCACCTAGTGTGGGGCCTGCTGCTGACAATCTTGTCATGCAAGAGACCATCCTATATGGCCAAAAAGGGCAGTTATACTCCTGTTGATGAACCCTGCTCACCTTTATTTCAACTAATGATGGCTCTCCAACCCTGGCTAGCAGTTTGACTTTCAAAAGGGGATATGAATGGAATGCCTTTATGTCAGAATTCTTTCCAGTCTTTCCACATGATCCTTTGGGCTCTCCAGAGACCCTTGACTTGCTCCTCTGCTCTCCAGAATGTGCTCAGGGTGAAGCTATTAGGGCAGCACAGATGAGAACAAACCCTTTTTCCTTCTTGTGCTATGCATTCTTGGGAAAAGTGTTTAACCTTCATTACTTCTATTTTCTCATCTGTAAAATGGAAATAGCATTAGTTATCTACTTCATGGGGTTATTGTGTTGTAACCTGTAGAGACAGAACAACACTTGGCCTTAGCATGTGGTGAGGACCCAATGGATATCTGCTGTTATTGTTCAACAATATAGAAGGCAGTGTGCTGGATACCATGAAGGTAACATCACCATCACAGCTTCTGCCTTGGAGGAGATCACCAGAAGACATGTCTGTCATCCAAATGCAGGGCACCTTATGATACGTTTTTTGACAAAAATCTAGCTGTGATGGCTCTTTGCTAATATGACTCCAGGTGCCTCCACTCAGAGCCTTGGATTACAGGATGGATGGCTTCTACTCATTGGGTTTATTCTTCAGCTTTATACTTAGTGTCTGGGAGGAATTACTTTTTTTTCCAGGGGATATTCCTAGCCCTCCCTGTTTTGGTGAGATTACCTCCCCACTGTGAGTTAGCTGGGCCCTCCTTTTGATTCCTGTTTTCCAATTTAGCTACATCCTGAGATTCCTGGATTTCCCCCCACCACCTTGGTCAGTGGTTCTGATCACTATATCATTGCTGGTTTGGGGGTTAATATGGCGCCATTTTGATCTTCCAAAGCCCAATTTTGGACTCTATTGTCTGCTTAGCTTCATAGTCAAGGCTATAATCCTTCTGAAATTTTATAAATATTTTATTCAATATGAAATTAGTTTCAACCATTTCTGAATAAATCATAAATATATAGACTAGGAAGAAAAGAACAATTCATTCTTCTAGATAACACAGAATGAATCAACATCCCTATAAATAATGATAATGGCAGCAAAAGTATTTATCTTTTTGATATGTAAAGTTTCATCTTTTCATGATTCTAGGATTATCTTATTTTTCCCTGGAAGCCCTAATGTTCTAGAGATTCATAAATGATAATTAATGCTTCAAATATATAACTGATATGCCTCATATCATAGCAGAACTCCAGCATTAATTTATTCACAAAGCTCTACTTAGTTAATTAGCAGTTTATTCATGAGACAGATTTAATTTGACTTTGTATGAAATTTTATCCAACACACTAAAATTTTTTAAAAATATCTAATAACTACTGCTTAATTTTGTGCCCCATTAAACAATGATGTCAGTATGAAAATGTATTCAAGTTAGAAAATTCATTAGTTTATCTTCAAGGCAGCATGTTCTAGCAGCTCCATTTTTTCCTTCCCAGGCATTTATTATACATATAACAGGAAAGATAAAATGGTTTCATTTGCACAAGGATATTTTTAAATAATGAGAAGAATGAATGTTAGAAAATGAGAAAGAGTGCTGTTACAAATACTTAACATTAAACCCTGCAGACCTTAAATTTCTTTAACAGCTAGAATAGTTCATTGAAAATTACCAGAATGCTAGGCACCAAGAGTTTTTAATATTCTTCTTTAAATACAAGCACCTTAAGAAATAAAACCTATTGCCATATAGAGCCAAATTTTAATGTTTTCTTTTCCCTTTTTAAGTTTATATGAAGTCCACAGTTGGAGCAAATGGACAGCATGATTTTCTGATTTGATTAATTCATGTAATCATTACTTCAGTACTTCCTAATTGATCAAATACTGTGGGTTAGATGCTATGGTAGCAAAGATCAGTAAATCATGATTCCAGTGATGTAAGACATGACAGTTCACTTGGAATATATAGTATACTTAAGGAGCTACTATAAGCAGCAATTCCATTAATGGCAATAAGCTTTTATTCTCAGCAATAAGCTTTTTAATCAATACTTGTTAAACACTTTACAAACCACACTTGTGTGTAATACAGATTTTTCTGGGTACCTATGAGCAAAAACAAAGATAAATATATATATCATGTTTACCTTAGTTATATTCATTCAAAGGAAGAAACCCCACGAAACTGTTATTACCATTATAGAGATATAATGGGTTTGTTGGAAGTACTTTCTAATATTTAATTATTTTGTATTATAATTTATCTAGGGTACCTTATTTGATTGCATTATTATTATAATTCTAACTGGGAAAAAAAGCTTACTGAGCTATTAAATGAAATTACATATACATGTAACCACGATTTTTCAGAACAAGCCCATATGAAGCTTTAAATAATTTTAAGTGCACATTTTATATGTAAAGACTGAAAATAATGACTCCATCATTAAAGGTCTTATAAATACCTAGGATGCTATGAAGAAGAGTCAGAGTTGCATAAACTTTCAGACACATTAAGTTTTTAGTATTGCCTCTTATCCTTTAGGAAAGGAAAATACAAAAGAGACTAAAAACTGGACATTTCTGGAACATGTTATCATTTGATGTTTCAGAACTTATTAAAGCAAATGAAAAAAAATTAAAAAGCTATCTTAAGAGTAATTTTATCTTCCGTTCCATAGTGAACATACACCAAGCTTTATACTTTCACCCAGTGCTTTTTCAAATGACTCATGCTTTCTAAACTTCTGGAAGGATTGACAGTGTAATTATTAGAATGGCTACATTGTGTGCTGATTGAGAGCAGGGGGTGTGGAATGGATGGCCCACCTGTACTACTTAAGTCTTTGTAATCTTTGGCAAGTTGCTTCTCTATGCCTCCATTTTTCTCATCAAGAAACTGAGCTGGTGTTAAAACTCATCTCTTTCAATAATTGCAAGGATTTATGAGTTAATATAATGCTTAGCACACTGTGTAGCACATGGTAAGCAAATGTTAACTATTACGAGGTTAAGCTCCAAAGCTGAAATTTCCTTTTAAAATCAAACCATAGCATAATAGAGAAAGAAATGGCTGATAAATACATGAAAAAAAAATGGTTCACTTTGCTAATAATCAAAAAGTATTAACAGGCAATAACTTTTTTCCAACTTTTTTTAACTGAAAAAACTGTGGGCACCTTCTCAATATTGGGGTACAACTGTTGTGGAAGGTAGTTTGCCCTGTCCTCATACACACAAACATATATTTCTGCTTATTACTTATTTTAAACAGGGAAGATACTTCTAACATGAAATAGTGCCCATGACTTAAAGTGAAATGAAAAACACAACCTAATAATTTGTATATATTGTATGATTCTACTTTTTGAGACGAAAAATATATGACTTTGTGTTTGCAGGGGGACCAAGTATGTTTAAAGATACATAGAAAGTTGAAAGGATATGCATAAAGTTAAAATTATTTTATTCCAGAGAGTGGAATTGCGGTTAACAGATAAGAGCATATTTGGTATACTTCCATATTTTGCTAAAAAGAAATGTTAAATACACGTATTGAGGGGGATTCCTAAGGCAAAGAATCACTAGTTAGGAAATTCTAGCCCCAAAACCTGGAGAAGAAATGAATCCCAAAGATAATTATATCTAATATAGAGAGCCTTGAAAGCCCTGGTTTTAATGTACTTTGTAGAATAACTAAATCCAGTTGCTGAGTTGTAGGAAAGTCTTCATTTAAGATGGAAGACAGATAAGGCTTCGTAGGTGGCAAGGGATCAATGCTGCCTTCTTAAGGGCCAAAAGCCCTAAGACTGTGTTCACTGGCAAATACATGATCATAAAAGAAATTGGGGTGTTTTACAAGGAAAATCTAGCTAGCACTCAGCCCAAAAGCTATATATATTTTGGAAGGCCACCTCCAGCCCATAAAGTCATGTTTATTGCAGTTTAAAAAACAGAGAGATACAACCTGAAAATACATACTCTAGGCTTTGATAGTAATCATCTTCTCTTATTGTTCAGAAAATGTTTCTAAACTGTTCCATACACTTCATCAGACTTTAGTTAATATTTGGAGAATTAAAATGAAAAGTTGCATAGAGATTAGTGTAAGAGATACCACTGAATATATTTATGTTATACAGAAAATTCTGTCCTCAGGATCTAGCAATACAAAGACATGTAGAAAAGAAATGTTTAGAGTTAATATTAGATTGTTATGAAAACTGTAAGTGTTGTAATGTTTTACAATATTTTGTTTTGGTAGTTTTCAAAGTAATCTGAAAACAAAAATTCTGTATGAACATGTTGCAAATCTATTGATGCATAATTTTTTTTCTTGTTTAATGTCAACATATTGTTTGTCTTTACAGAGTTACTGGAGGTGAACTCTTTGAAGACATAGTGGCAAGAGAGTATTACAGTGAAGCAGATGCCAGGTAAGTGACTTGCCCAGGGGCAAGATATAAGACTCAACATTCAAATGACACTGTTCAGTATATCTCTTTACAAATGCATCATAAAGCTTAGTATTTATGAGACTCTCATAATACCATCTTGGACGACTTCTCATGATGAGTCCATCTTAGCTATTTCTCTCTCTCACGGATTTCCAGGATAATTGTTTAGGTGAAAAAAAACCCCTAGAATCTGGTCTACACTTTGTTATTATCTAACATCTATAGTTAGTTTTTTAAAAAAATTAAAAAATATGTACTCGGAATGACTTCTGCTAAAGAAATATACTTTGCTAGCAAAGTTAAAAGATCAAAGATTCAGATCTTCTGGTCTCTAGATCCTAAGTTGCTCCTTATGGTAGCTACTAATAACGCATGGCTATTCTAATTTCAGTTAATTAAAATTAAATAAAAATTTAGTTTCTCAGTTGTACTAGCTACATTTTGAATACTTACTGGCTATAAGTGACTAGTAACTATCAATTGGACATAGCAGTTATAGAACATTTCCATTATCACAGAAAGATTCACTGAACAGCCCACTCTAATCAGAGATCATAAAAAGAAACAGACTACAAAAGCCCCAGTGGTATCCTTAAAGCATTATTAGCTGTTTAACTCTGGAAATTCCAGGATAGCTTTTGGAACCTTCATGTAAAAAATATTGATTCGGATGTATCAGAGCGTTCAAAAGGATTTCTCAGTCTTGTTAATTGATATCATCTTTAGAGAAGTTAACAGTGGCTATACATTTTTTCTCATTCGAAACTTCCTAGTCTGCACAAAGGCAACCTTTTTGGAATGAAGTGCCATTAGTTTACTTGCCTAGATACTATTTAGATGTATCATGTTAGTTTTCCTTGGCATTTCTTTATACATATTCAGTAGTTGGCACTTGTTTTGAAAGATCTAGCCTTGGGTAATTGACTCATTATTAACAATGTAAATGAGATCTTATGAAAATTCAGTTACTTATTGTCTGCCCCCATTATCTAATGCTCTCAGAGCTTCCTGAAGCTTGCTAATCCCACTGTAGCCTGCACTCAGCAGATAGTCAGCTGATAGCAGGTTCCCTCCCCATCCCTTCAAAGTAGCACATGCATACACAGGCTCGCTTGCAAATCTCTAATTAATCTTCTTGGTTTAATGCCAGTTTATGACAGTCTGTGAATCTTATCTGTACATGACTACACTCTAATTTTTTAATGGAATTTTTACTGCCAAAGTCAAATAGAAACTTCCGTGTCATTTATACTCTTATGAGTGAATCATCCCCCAATTCTTATGTTAGGGCCCTGAAAAGGGACTTTAGAGCGGCCTTGCGAGAAGCTATTTGCCCATTTGCCTAGACAGGGTAATAATTTTAATCAGGTAGTTCACTAGTTAGGGAATTACATTTATTTTGCTTTTTAAAGTTATGTTAAGTCATTATGTTTGAAAAGTATTGTTTGAAATTAAAATAGAAACTGTTTTCAATATTGAAGAGCCGTACAGATAACAGAAAAGACCCTATAGGTTGGATCATTTTATATGCACATTTATTATTGTTTTGGAATTCGGTACAAGTTCTTTTTTAGGGTAGGTCCCATACAAAATCAAGGAGAAGGAACATTTTTTTCCCCAAGGATGAACTTAAAGAAAAAGGCTTCTTACTAGTCCTCAAGAACTAAAGAATTGAATCCATTCTCACTAGTAAAAAAATGATGTTCATTTAATGTGAATTATTGTATGCTTTACTATGCATTATTCATTAAGCCTAATGACTTATATCTGTGGTTTGAGAGAGAAAGTGAAATATTTCTAAAAAGTAGTACAAAGTGAAGAAAAGTCGTAGGATTTAAAAAATAATTACCAACATCCAAGTAAGCTATTTGGTCAAAAAGCAACTAATGTTTGGCTCTTTTAGTGGGACTCTTTATAGAGTTAGACCTGGGAAATCATAACCTTGATCATTTTTTACATTCACATTGTAGTAAATCAGATGGTGATTACTTTTTATAATTCAGGAATTTACTGAGTAATATTATTTTGTAATTAAATGGCTGAAAATAGCGTTATTAAAATGTTTGTTAATAAATGTAGCTCAGCACATAACCTGCATTTGAATCACACAGTAAATTTGAACAAAATATGTCAGTGTGGTCTATATTATGTCAGATGACAACTCATGGGAACTTATAGGTGCCAATCAATGATTTATCCCTTCTAATTTAATTAGCAGTCTGTTTGACATCAGTGAGCCTTTTAAGAATAGTATGAATTGTGTTTTTTGACATAATAATAAAAAATTTTTCTTTAGTGAGGTGTATAGAAACGTATCAACATTACTAGTGTTCAGGGGATTTTAAAATTTGTTTTTTTGTAAGTTCCTAGCCCTTCTCTAGAGTATGCCTATCCTGAAAAGGGGTTTATTTTACGTGATGGGTTTACTTGAAATTCTCCCTCTGTATTGGAGACTTGCATTAGTTTTCCTCTTACTATATTATACAAGAAGCACCATTTCTAAGTCAAAATGATAAATGTGTCCCTCCATTTTTTTAACCCTTGTTTCACCTGCCACTTCATCTGTGTTTACCCTCTTGTTTCAACACCTATGTTTAATTGTGACCTCAGATTTTAAACAGTTTAGATGTGTATGAGAAATAACCATAAATTTTATATTGGCTGAAGAATTTTCCCAGAACATTATGGGAATATTTATAAATTTTTCTTCTTGAATATGGAAATTTTGGCTTCTGTATACAAGTGGTTTAATTTGTATACTTGCAATGGAAAAAAAGCACAGCTCAAATTGTTTTGTCTGAATATGTCACAAACTGTATGTTGGATGTCATTTTCGTTAGAACCTGAATTAGCTTTATTCAGCATTATTAAATTCCAGTGTAAAGCTAAAAAAATGTTGTGAAAAAATATAATTTTTGTTTGTTTGTTTGTTTGTTTCGTTTTAACTTTCATTTTATTTTGTATTCAATGTGATTATGTACCTTTAAAATGTTCTCCCTTCCATTCTGCCCTTGTATCTTTACAGTCATTGTATACAGCAGATTCTAGAAAGTGTAAATCATTGTCACCTAAATGGCATAGTTCACAGGGACCTGAAGGTCAGTATATGGAGTCCATAAATCTGAATCAAAGGAGTTTTGTTTTGTTTTTTTTTTTTTTTTGGTTTTATTTCTGGGGAAAGGGCAGAGGGTGGGTATTTAAAATGGTTCCCTTGCCTTTCCTAATTTTTCCCTAAAATGACTACATGATGAAATGATAATGCATGATGCCTCTTTCAGTTTGCTCATCTACAGGCTAAATATACATCATAGCAAAAAGAGAGGGTCAATATTGAAAACACAACCTATTAAGTTTCCAAGCAATAAACTACCAGAGGCGGTTTGGGGGCAGGCTTTGCTGAAATGTCCAGCATTTGCCTGGAGACGAACTTGGCCTGTGATGTATGTCCGCCTGTAGATTTAAACACCACTTCTGTTCTGAGACCATGGGTTGCTGTAGCAAAACAACTGGTTACACATTGCTCCATTTGAGTCTGATGAACCCTCAGGCAAGAGATAATAATTGCCAGCTAAATTAAAGCACAAGAAGTTAATGATTTATCAAAAATTCATTATGTATCCTAATTTAACCTTAATGATGTCTTGACTGCTAATGTGACAGCTTTGGAATGATACTAGAAAATGGGAGGGATTGGGAAAACAGTTTTTTCTATGTGGGGTGAAGGTGGACCACAACAGCTATAAAAATTTTATTTGCATTCCAGTTCTTTTCCCATAAGAATTTATAACTAGGAAAGGAACTACTGAATTAAAATATTTTTAAGATGATTTTTTTTCCTAAGATCAAGTGGATCTACATTTTTGCTCACATCTGGCAAGATCCTGATTGCTCTGAGGTAGTAGTCACTCTGCTTGAGCAATATGTTTACATTACTGAAGGTGGTAAAATACAACCCCAGTTGTCTGCTGGTTTTGCACTTTAACCCAGTCTCTCTGAGGCTATACAGACAGTGAGTGTAAGCTTGGAACTAACACACGCCCCCTGGTGTTTGCATGCAGTCATTGCATTCAGCAGATCCTGGAGGCTGTGCTACACTGCCATCAGATGGGCGTAGTCCATCGGGACCTGAAGGTGAGTAATGCCCTTGGAGAAGATAAACCACCACACAATTCCTAATGACTGTTCAGCTGCAATTATGCCTATAAAGGAAAAAAATATGAGCCAGAAAGTTGTGTGGACTCATTCCAACATATTACTAAAACACTTTCCTTCACCACAGTCTCTCTTATTTCATCTTTTTCCTCATCCACGCTTGAAACTTACATAAATCCCATTTCATCCAGAGGAATAATGTCCTACCATTAACAATAAAGAGGCTACTTCTGTTTCCTTCCTCATAAGACTATAGCATTTAATGTGACACTGCATAAGACTGATGATCTTTTTCATTCTAAACCTGTTCTGTGGACATTGATCAAACATACTATTTTGGAGTCATATTGTGTATACCTAATATTATGTAAATAGTTGTGAATATTATAAAGAGAATAGTTATTAAATAGGTTTTTAGCATTAAAGAACCTCTGTCTGAAGTCTCTTTCCCTTAACAGAAGTCCTAGGAATTCTGAGGATGTTGGGGCTTCCTGTTCTTTACATTGCTATGTATCAAGATACTAGTGCCTTTTAAAACAGAGAGGAAAAAAGTAAAATTTTATCATAAAATAATATTTATGTAACATATATTGACTAATTCTTTTAAGACTCCACTCAGTTTCTGATATCACTCCGGATGAGAAGTGTTTAGATCATTTAGAAATTAAATAGTTCAGAAGGAGACTATTCTTTCATTCATTTTCTGGCCCCTTCTCCCAAGACTCTAGTTTCACTTATGGAATTTCAGAGATCTAGTGAAGGCCTAGAAACTTAAATGAAACCACTGAGTGGGCAGAATAGCAAATGTGAGCACTATGTAGTTGTCATTCTTTGTTTCAAGCCTCATCCATATACAAGCATTAGTACGAAGGCAGCAAAATAATTTAGAATGTCTTCAGCTGTATATGTTCAGTGGGAGGACCTGGGGTGGTTTCTCATGTGCGGACTTCTCTAGTGATAAATCTGTAGTTTCCATCATTTAGTATGCTCTAGTAGAATATATCTAAGGATCCACAACAAGTTATTTGAAGATGTGATTTATAAGCAAAGCATTGTCTTAGGTTTCTGGAATATTCCTCTGATTTCAGTTTGAGTCTTAGATCTTTAAATGTGAACCATAACCAAAGTTACGGTTAATGGCATTTTCTTTTCTTTCCTTCCATCCTTCCTTCTTTTTTTCCTTTTTTTTTTTTTTTTTTTTTTTTGGAGAGCCGAGACAGGACTCTTTACATCTGCTAACACTTTACCAAGTGTACCCATCATGATTAAGGAAAAACAATAGGTTCCTTTCAAAGTTCATATCTTTGGCAGGCATCTCAAGAATTCCTTACCAGCCACAGAGAGAGAGAGAGAGAGAGAGAGAAAGAGAGAGACCCTTTTTGTTAATTCTCAGAACTCACAGTACTACTTCCCTTTTTAAGTGAAAATACATGGTGGCACCTGGTGGTTCAGTGGTTGAGCGTCTGCCTTTGGCTCAGGGCATGATCCTGGAGTGCTGGGATCGAGTCTTGCATTGGGCTCCCTTTGAGGAGCTTGCCTCTCCCTCTGCCTGTGTCTCTGCCTCTCTGTGTGTCTCTCATGAATGAATAAATACAATCTTAAAAAAAAAGAAAGTAAAAATATATGGGCATATGTATTTATTTATGCTATTTTATTACATACTCTATTTAATAAATTTACCATTGAAATATTTTGCTCCATACTATAAAAGCATACTCTAAAAGCCAGGGATGAAAAATATGAATTCTCTTACATGATCTTCAAAATATATATTGTGAGGTCATGATGAGTTCAAACTCAGCTAAATTCCTCAAAGGCTAGAACTTTAATCAGAGATGGCAGTGGGCCTAGGATATGGGCTGAGAAGAAAACCTATTTTCTGACATATGAGCTAAATTGACTAATTAAAAACTCAGGCAGGTGACTTTTAGGGAGGCTTACTACCAAAAGAAATAACCTGCTGCCTCACCCATTAGATTTCTTTCAAGGGATAAAAGTATTTTTGTTCTCTATCCTTATTCTGATTTTAGGAGAGGATGGGGATGAACTTTGGGTAGAGCTTGTTAAGATTTTTATAATTCTCTTGGTTTCTCTCTAATTGCTGACTGGAATAGACTTGAGTCTAGTTTTTGGTGTATGTTTCAGTAGGCCATTTCATAACATACTAAGAGAGTATGTTAGAGACAATTTACACACACCCGGAGGGTGCTAAATCCCTGGCTTTGTGGTATGTTTCTTTATACCCACACATGTACTTTATTTGATAAGTATACTACTTGTAGTAGCATATTCACCAGTGTATTAAAATGAAAAAGATTGGCAAAATTTCTTATTACCAAGCTTTAAACAAAAATTTGCCCCTATTAAAAAAAAATTTTGCCCCTATTATTCTTAGGTCATATATTTAGTTTCATATCTTGATTCATACATTAATTTATATATAATACAAATGTTTGATGCACAGTTTAATTTATGCATATCAGTGAGAAAAACACAGAAAACATTATGTTCTTTATCATTATTAAATGCACCTACAAGCATATGAATGTTGTACAATTTGTAAGCCTCTGCTAGAACAATAGCTGTATAACTCTACAATACCTACCTATAATACTGTATTACTTCACAGTCTCTAATATAGGAGTTATACCTAGTAAATACCTGTGGCATATACTTTCAATTTAGGAATGCAGAAAGTTCAATCAGAAGCACATTTATAATATAAAAGGCTTTACTGGGACACCTGGGTGGCTCAGCGGTTGAGTGCCTGCCTTCGGCTCAGGGCATGATCCTGGAGTCCAGGGATCGAGTCCCACGTCGGGCTCCCTGTATGGAGCCTGCTTCTCCTTCTGCCTGTGTCTCTGCCTCTCTCTCTCTGTGTCTCTCATGAATAAATAAATAAAATCTTAAAAAAATAAAAGGCGTTATTAAATAACATAGATTTTTGTGCATGTTAATTAATATTGAATAAAGAGGATAAGTATCACTCTTTGAGACAGTGATAGCTTTAAGATCATTATTTGAGTAACTGCCACTCTTGGGAGCTTATTAGGCAGTAGAATCCACCAGATGGAAAATTATAAGAACCTAGAGACAAGGCTGAGGCATAGCAGACAATTGGAGGATGTCCCAGAAACAAACAATAGGAGAAGGCTCCATGTGGTGGGATATTAGCATTAAGGAAGCACATCAGTCACAACCAGACAGTATGTAGTGGATACACAAACCTTTCGTCTAAGGTGCATCCAGTGTCAGATCCAAGCAGTATTAAGGAGTATCTAGCAGTGGTGACATAATTATAGTACTGTAGTTCAGGAATATGACTCTTGTCTTTGGGAGGATTTGGATCAAGGCAGGACGTTAGTAATAAAAATGATTATAGCTGCCGTTTATCAGACAGTTACCATGTACCCTGTACTGTGTTATCATATGAATCTTAACAACAGCTTTATGAGGAAGGCACTTTGATCTCTCCCCCCTGTTGCATGAGGAAAGATTTAGCAACCATGGATGAAAGAACTTATTCATGGTTGCTCAGCTAGTAAGTTATGATTTGTGTCCAAGCATTTTGGTTCCAGAGTCTGCATACTTAATTGCTAACCACTTCTCAATTCGTTAATTGGATAAATTGAAAACTTTATAGAGGCCAAAAATTAGGTCAAACAATGAGAAAGTAATTTTGCCAGCAACATTAAGAATTGGGAAACAGTTCTAAGTTTAGTGAGTCAACTGATTAAAATGATCCTGCTTATGGATCTTCCAGAGCTGTACAAAATCTGTATCATTAGGAAAGAGATTAAGTTTAAGTTATACTTAAGATATAACATGGAGTTGAGAGGCAACATATCTGTTATAGATTGGTGTCCAAAGTAAAAATTTCTTATTTAGGAAATCAGTAAAGTGGCATTGGTCACAGCCTTTGGAAAATGAGACATAGAAAAGAACG